CTTCTTCCCGACTCCGGCCGGAACTCGCTCCGAAACGTGGCCTAGGAGGCCTGGGGCTGCATTTTAGAAGCGCGCAAAGTCCATGCAAAATCTTTCTGGCCATAGTGCGGCCTGGCGGGGTAGAGGTTTGAAGGTTAGACTTCCACTGCCACAGCTCCGGGTGGGTCGTCCTTCTAAGGTTCGACTCGGAAAGCGCTACAACCGTCGAATCGCGCGATGCGTGCTGGACTTGAGGGATACAAAGACTTCAACAGACCGCGATTTTTTCACAAAGACTCTACAAGACTCCGCAAAGACTAAAAAGATTCCAGAAAGTTCCAAAAGACTGGCCGAAACTTCACCGATGCTTGCAGACGCTAGCCGGAATGGCAACACACTGATGAGTGCTGCAGACTCGAACGGAAAGAGCGATATTCCAACGATGAGTGCTGCGTTGTCGTGTCAGTGCGACGGTCCAGTCAATTGTTGCAAGCTAAATCCTGCTAGCAGCAAACTTTTCTAACAGCAGTGGAAAGCAAATGCATCGGCCAACTGTCGTGGAGCATGGAGCACACACTTTTCGTCAAGTAAAACAACACCCCCCGAGCAAAAAGTGCACCCGGGCAAGTAGCCTGGATCTCGGTGTTTTCAGTGATCGGAAGGGTTGAGCCCCAGCTGGCAAGAGCTGGTGGGCCGAGACGTGCTTGGCTTGAGGCATGGGAATGACTGCACTCCGCTGCAACGTTCTATGCAAGGTCCATCGGCAAGTCAAAAGCACGAAGACTCAGCAGCAGTCACCTTACCTCCTGCATTTTCATCAGTGATTTTTGTTTCCATTTTGTTCCAATTTTGTTCCCACTTTGTTCCAAAATGGTTTGGATTGGATTGCAGAAAGAATCCGTTTCCCACTCCGGACAGCAGCACATTTTTATCAAAAAACAAAAAATCGCATGCAAACGAAAGCAAGTCCATCAGCTGCTCTTAAAGAAGTTTGACACCTCATGGGAGATGATGGAGATGCCAGATTTTGGTTTTGGAGGTTGTTGGTTGTTTTGTGTTGGTGTTTGCAGAGCTGAAGTGCGCACGCAGAAACCTGGAAA